TTGGATATCAAACCCCAAAACATCCTCTTAGATGAAGACTTCAACGCCAAAATTTCTGATTTTGGATTATCAAAACTAATTGATAAGGACCAAAGCCAAGTTGTAACAATGATGAGGGGAACACCAAGCTATTTGGCTCCCGAATGGTTGAGCTCAATTATCACCGAGAAAGTAGATGTTTATGAAATTTCATCTTAGGACTTGGTGTTGTTGACTCAATTGCCAGGTCGCTGAAGATATATTGTGACAATACCGCAGCAGTTTTCTTCTCTAAGAATGGAAAGTACTCCAGTGGTTCCAAACACATGGAAGTAAAGTACTTGGTTGTTAGAGAGAGAGTCCAGAAACAACAAGTGTTAATTGAAAACTTAAGCACCTCTCTTATGATTGCTGATCCATTCATGAAGGGATTGCTACCAAAGACATACAAAGAGCATGTTATCAGGATGGGTCTTTTAAGCAACCCTTGATGTGTATGGTTAATCATGAGTGCTTATTTTTTTGACACTATTTGCGCAATAATAATTTTGTTTCTGTTTTCCTGTTTCTAAAAGTGTGTGTACACATTATTTTGAATATTGATAAACAGGAAATGTCTTCACAAGACAAATTACAGGGGCCTTTCAGGCAAATAATTATATATCCCAATAAAGGACTGGGTTGGTGAAGGTTATCAATGGTGTGGTGCATAGAAGGAAATATGACATAAATGTTATATAACCGCTATGACTCACATTGGTGATCTGATGTAATCACAGTATTATAGTTTCTAATATATCTGAACTTATTGGCTATTTTTTAAAATTCGTGATCACATGTCAAAGTTTTTAGTGTGGAATCCAATGAGTCAAAATTTTTTAAGTTGCATATTTAAAAAAAAAAAAAAAAAAAAAAAAAAAAAAAAAAAAAAAAAAAAACTCATAATTGCATCATGATCGGCTTAATGGGCCAAGTGGGAGAATATTAGATTTATTTTTCTAGTGTGGCCCAATAGCCTACATATTTTCTACATGTTTTAATTTATTTGGACTCCACAAATAGATAAAGCCAATATTTGAGATCAAGTTCAGTAAATAGAATTTTAATATAATCACTCTTCTAAGATAAGAAGGAAACCTTGATGGATTAGGAATTCTTCTGATAGAGTTTATCTGGCCCTCTTCTCTCCTCTATATAAGGATGGGTGACTCCCCTTTCATATCATGAGTATTTTTCTATCACTTTAAGTTTTATAGTCATCCTAATTAAGAGAGACAGAGAGAAGAAGGTGAGCCAAAATTAAAGGTTCAACTCTAAGGGGTATTTTCTCAACTTCTCTAATTCAATGGCTGACAAAGGTATTCTCGTTTTATTCTTGAGTTGTATTGAATTCAAGATCCTGTAAAGTTTAATTCCGCATTATTATTATGGTTACATGTATTATTAAATCTTACAACCCAACCTTGGATGTTCTGCTGTTACACCCATTTCTTATGACCATTCTCAATATCACACCGTTTTAGAGCTTAAGAATACTAGTTACTTCAACTTCAACTCAAAATACAAATTCCCATATGAAAACATTACTACTTGGATGGAAAAACAGAGTTAGAGGATTGTAAGATGAGTTGCTTGAAAAATTATTGGTACAAAGCTGCTTTCTTTGCATATCATGTGGGATATGATTCAAAGAAAGGTTGTTTAATATTGTCTGAAGTATTGTTGCTTATAAATAATGATGGAGCAGTTGATAACATTACTGTATTTCTTAAAGTGCACAAATCAACAGATTCTACTCAAAAGAAATCAACGCGTGTCAAAATTATATTGGGATCCAGTCTTGGAGCTTTCTTTGGCATATTTTTTATGGTTGCCTTCTGTTTTTTCCTTTTCACAAACAAACAAGAATCCGAAGAATTTGATGAGTTCTTTGTTGATCAAGTACTAGAGATGTCTACTAGATTCTCTTACGAAGAGTTGAAAGCCATGACAAGCAATTTCGATAAAAAGCTTGGAGAAAAAGGATTTGGGTCATTGTTTCAAGGGACATTAATTGATGGCACTAACATAGCAGTGAAGTGTCTCAATGGTTTTGGTCAAGTTAAGAAGTCATTCTTAGCTGAAGTTGAGACAATAGACAACATTTACCATGTCAATTTGGTGAGATTAATTGGATTTTGTGTTGAAAAATCATATCGGCTTCTAGTTTACGTGTACATATCCAATGGATCCTTGGATGCATGGATCTTCCAAAGGAACCAAGAGCAGAAGGAAGATCATCATGGATATAGCCAAAGGACTAACCTATCTCCATGAGGAATGTTGGAAAAAGATATTTCACTTGGATATCAAACCCCAAAACATCCTCTTAGATGAAGACTTCAACGCCAAAATTTCTGATTTTGGATTATCAAAACTAATTGATAAGGACCAAAGCCAAGTTGTAACAATGATGAGGGGAACACCAAGCTATTTGGCTCCCGAATGGTTGAGCTCAATTATCACCGAGAAAGTAGATGTTTATAGCTTTGGTGTCGTAGTCTTGGAAATGTTGTGTGGGCGCAAAAATTTGGATAGGTCTCAACCTGAAAAAGATATGCATCTACTAGATCTGTTTAAGATGAAAGCAGAATATGAACGATTTCTCGATATCGTTGATAAATACAATGATGACATGCAAACACATAAAGCAGAAGTTGTGGTGATGATGAGGGTTGTCGTGTGGTGTCTACAAAGTGATTTTTCCATGAGGCCTTCCATGTTGGTGGTGGTTAAGGTCTTGGAGTGTGGCACCAAAAGCAATCACAATTGGTGGTCACCAAGGGAATCACATTGATGCTGCTACTACTTTATTTCCATCAGTTTTATCAGGACTAAGGTAATTAAAGTAGACTACGAAAAAAATACAATTGATTGGTTTGAGTCTTTTCTATTTCTTTCTGTCCGTTTTTTCTTTTTCTTGGACTGATAAGTTTTAGGATTTCAATTTAGTCTAGGAACATTGCAACACAATGGAATAAAATTGTCAAAACATGCCATGAAGGCTTAGTAAAGTTCCCTGTTCACACCATTCTAACTTTGTCTTGTGTGAATTTCACTAGTAAATCTAACAAACTGGTTGCGATTTGAAATTTGTACAAAATTTATCTAAGAGTTGTATTTCTACCTAATTTAGTGAAAGTTCTTGGTAAAATTGCATGTTCATTTACCCACATCCTCTAACGTCTTTTATGTATATATAATATAATGTAGTGAATATATAGTAAGTAGGGCTCTAAAAAATCTACTATCTCCTTCCCAAAATATTAGTCCCTTATTCTATTTTTCATTGTCCCAAAAATATTAGTCGCTTATTCTATTTTTCATTATCCCAAAATATTAGTTTTTTTTCACAAATCAAGGTCTAAAATAACAAGAATTTTCTATTTTGCCTTTCTTTTAAATTCATTAATTATAACAATTGATGTTCCCAAGAAGAAGTCAAAGGGTAGTTTTGAAAATTTAATACTTTTGAAGTGTAATAATTGTACTACGAAAAAAAGTTGAATTCCCTAAAAGGGACTAATCTTTTAGGACAGAAGGAAAACGACCAGCATTCCTTCACTTCCCACGTTTTTACCCCTTGAACCACCACTAGTTTGCAGTGGATATGGTACGATAGCGTGGCAAGTGTGGACTGCACTTGCTTTATTTTAAGCATATAAATAATAACCATCGTAATCTTGAATGTTCTCAAATTGCTCCCTTATCCTGCAAAGCTTCAAAATATCAAAAGCTCATAGAGCTAAACAAAGTTACATACTTAAGAATACACAGACACGAAGAGTAGTTGCGAGCAACCTGTTTGAGTAATTGCTCTTGCAAGGCTACTCTATTTTGTTCAAGTGAATTGTCCAATAAAAATTCAATTGGAAATGCTTTATATATACTAATAGAGATTATCTCAATGAAGGTCAATATAAAGTGCAAGTCAAGTCAACAATCAGATTTGTAATCAAACTGGTATCCAGCCTTGGAGCATTTTCTTTTTCCTCAGTTTATATGTAACGACCCCGACCTGCATATTATTTTCGCATATTATTTTATTAAGAGAATTGCATGATTATGTATTTAATTTTGTGCTTATCTGTTTATTTTCAGAATATCTATTAGAATATCGACTTCGAATCTGAAATTGAAAGTCCATATGGATTTAGAAGCCGAAATTGACTAGCTCAATAGACTAATTAGAATATTGAGAATCATATGGTAAGTTTGATTAAAATTTGATTCGAATCAAAATAATTAGAATAAATCAATTAGAATTGAGTAACATTAATTAGACTTATGCTAGATTAATTAACCCTAAGCCTAATTAATTAGTCTTCACTAATCCTAGGTATAAATATGTGTTCTATACATGTTTTGAGCTCATTCATTACTCTTGGCTGAGATTTAGAGAGAGGGAGGAAGAGAGTTCAACCTTAAGAAGGAGAAATCAAGAATTAAGTAGGAAAAGAAGAGAATTGAAGAGAATTGTGTCAAGACTCATAAAATTCAAGCTTTAGGTATGAATTACAACTATAATTCTTGTAGATAACCCATGTAAAAGTTGAATTCATCATATATATAGGATCATTTGCTTGTAATTGTAAAGAAATGGCTAGAATCACTTTGAATTTAGTAAAAAATGGTTTGAATTGGGGCATGCATGCATATTTCATCATTCTTAAGCTTGATTTTCCACAAAATCCTTACGTGCATGAGGTTATACTTGTTATCTTTGAAAATTCTCCACGATTTACACTCACCATTTCATATATTCATGTTTTGAAAAGAAAAGAGTTGAATTTATGACATGCATGGCAAGATCATAAAGTTTTATGTTTTGTTTTGGAAAATTGAAAGACATTTTGAGACTTTAGTTTGATAATTATCAAGTATTCATGTTTTATAAAGTGTTTTTTCATGTTTCTATTATAGCGATCCCGGGTTTACCCTTGTTGAACAGTGATCCAGACACGTGTCCGTGGATGTTGGTAGTTGTTATATATCTTGTTTGCATCCTTTTTACTTTGTATATTGAGTTATAGGATGTGTTGGGTATGTTTGTTACAGGTTGGTTGTGTTTGGGAGCCTAGTGTTGCTGCCCAGAATTTTGGACCTTTGCTCGAGTGAGGAGTTGGTCGCTCGAGCGAGAGTTGAGTTCGTGTCTGGTGGGTCGAGCCAGAGTGGCTTCGCTCGAGCGAGCGCTTGCACCTGGTTCTGGACCTAAGAGTTGCGTTTCTTGGCTCGAGCGAGCTTTCTTCGCTCGAGCGGTTTGGTTAGTTCTTCGCTCGAGCGAGAGGTCTGTCGCTCAAGCATGCTGGTTGCAAACCTGAGGGTTTGAGTTGTTGGCTCGAGCGAGCATTCTTTCGCTCGAGCGCACTTCTGAGTTTTTGGCTCGAGCGAGAGCTTCTTGGCTCGAGCGAGGGTTTTCTGTGTCTGGTCGCTCGAGCGACCAAGTCTTCGCTCGAGCGAGCGTGTTTTATATCAGCGGACAGTAGCATTTTTGAACATCACTTTTTCACTTCCTTTTTCTTTCAAAACCTAGATCCGAGACTCTCTCTCTCTAAACTTATATTCTCTCTAAAAGTTGATCTCCCTAGAGTGTGAATCCAGCCTAGAGCCTTTGTTAAAAAGATAGAGGGTGTTGAGAGCTTCGTTTTAATCTGAAAAAGTGTGGGTTTGGAGCACGTTGATCTTTGAGTCTTCATCTCCTTTTTGGCTCAAACTTCGAGGTAGGGATATCCTACTCCTCTCTATGGATTTTGTCTTTAAATTTTAGTATTTTGAGATGTTGGGGTTGGTTTGGTAATTTTGTGAAAGTTTGGGGTTTTGTGTTATTTTACAAAAGTTGGGATTTTATTCATAATAAACCTAGATGCATGTTTGGCATAGAGAAATGGAATAAATGTTGAATCATTGATGAAAATGGGACCTAAGGGTTGAAATGGTAATTATGGATAACGACCTAATTACATTGTTTAATTAATTGGGATAATTAATTGTGAGAAATGAGGAAATGAAATGTTTGTTGATTGTCCATTGTGCATTTATTTTCTGTTTAGAAATAACTGCTTTGGGCTATCGGTGGAGGATAGTCGTGATTGTTGTAGACAATGCATGATGATTAGGCATACAAGTGAAAGGAGGGGTTGCTCTAGAAGAGATAGAGGGATGAAGGAAATTAATGATTTAATTGATAAGTGTGAAGAATCAGACCAGCTTCAGTTTTTAGAAAAAAAAATAGAAAGATTGAGACTTCGATGAGACTATTCAGAGGAAGGAGAGGAGGAAGCAGTGTACCAAGTAAATAGCCTTCTTTGGTACATAGAGGTTGGTTCAATTAGGCGTTGTGGATTCGCTAGGTAATTGAGAGTATACCTGTGTAATTCCTTTAAATCTTCTTAGTGGATTGTTCTTGTGGCTGGTGCCCGTGGTTTTTTGATCACAGTTGGAGGGGTCCAATTGTGGTTTTTTCCACGTTAAAATCGTTGTGTCTCTTTGTCTTGATTGTTTGATTGTTTGATTGGGATTGTTATATTCTGCTTAAAATTGATACATAATCACAAATCAACATCTAGGGAATTTCTAGATTTTTCATGCAGGTTATGGGCAAAACTATTTTATAGATGAGACTTCAACTTATGGACAAATCATTGGATCACAATACCACACAGAGCATGACTGAATATTTATAAATTCCCTACTCCCATTACCCATTTCATGTACTTATTTACCTTTATAGATGGCAGGATTCACTCCCATTACCCATTTCATGTGATTTAGAATTTGAGTCCTACTTATTTTTGTTCCATTTGTTATGTCAGGTAAAAAAATGTCAACATCAAATGCATCTATGACTGATATTAGCGAAATTCAATTTAGTAATCGGAAATGTCGTTGCGGGGTGAGAGCAACATTCAGGATTTCAGAGTCACAGGACAATCCGGGGATGGTATACTTTGCTTGCCCTTCAAACAACACCAATGGATGCGGCTTCTTTCAATGGTGGATGCCTTTACATATGCAGCGTCAATGGTTGAAGATGATAAGGGAGGAAAGTGACGACAATTGTAATATCAACCCTTTGGTCAACGAAGTGATTGTATCCAATGATGAGCTGAAAGAGATAGTTACAAAGCTTACGAAAGAATGTAAACAAATGGTTGTAGGGATTAGACAACTTCAGAAAAAGTTGCACTATGCCATTGTAATAATGTTATTTGGATTTGGACTTCTTTTGTTGTTTAAAAATTAAGTGTAATTTAAATTCGGATTTGAACTTCGCCTTTTGTGAACTAAATATTATGTGTAAATGAAGTTGGTTGTTGACTTCTTTTGTTTGTTTGGATTGTTGGTTTGGATTGTTGGTATGGTATGTTACTATTTTTTGTGCTTATAGTTTATGTTGTTATTGAAGATATGACGGACAATGGTCCATGTATACATATATAGAATTCCATGGACTGTTGCCATTTGTTTACTTTGATGTAAATTAGGACACTCCAATGATCTATATCCTCATGTGATGCTCAGATTTGTGTCCCACTCAACTTCAGACCATTGTTATGACCAAACATGTATTTTCAGATGTTAAGAAATTCAAATGGAATAATGTTTTATTCAAATTGAAGGGTTATAATGATTGAGGAACATATCAGCACAGATTTGGTTTATCTGGTTTACATATCAGCACATATCAACATATCAGCCCAAATAAACTTATTTTTTACTGATATCAAACTAGAATGAGATTCCCATGATTTGAACATAACGTAAATTTCAGCAACATATTTCAACAACTTTGAGCAC